GATGGATGGATAGATAGATAGATGATAGATAGATAGATAGATGATAGATAGATGGATAGATAGATAGAGTACTACTCTGCAATGAATGGATAAACTAGGGACTTTTATAGGTAAATGGATGCAAGAAATCAGACCCATATATGTAAACATCATATTGCCTCATTAATGTGAGAAACTCAAAGAGTAAATGAGATCCAAAATATACAACAGGTATTGTGAATTGAGAAGAAGCTGCTTAAAAGAAAAGACAAACTGGGCAGGGAAAGGCAAAGTGAGGGAAAGGGGAAAGGAAAAGGAAAAAGAAAAATGCATATACACAAGATAGTTGAGGCAGTTATATAACTAGTTCATTGAAAACAAAGGTTTGTGCTAATGTTGTTTGAATAAGGTATCATGCCCATATCTCATACTCTGAATATCTACTATGAAGACAATATGCAATGTATATTGTAACTCTCCTATTATCCTGTTTTGAAACTCTGTTTGTTTGTTTGTTTGTTTGTGGTACCAGGGATCAAACTCAGGACCTTGCGCTTGCCAGGCAAGCACTGTTCCACTGAGCTATCTCCCCAGCCCGAAAGTTGAGAAGGATTTTTTTTCTTTTTTGGGGGGTGGGTGGACGCTGGCTCAGGCTGCCTTAAGGGCAGATCTGGTAAGGCACGCGGAGCTGCAGTCACCTGCATCTGACTGGGTTTGCACCAGCAGGTGCTTAAGCAACTGAGCTAACCTGCAAGCCCCCTTGAGACTCTGTTTTATTGGGGTTTTCTCTTTAAAATTAAAAAAAAGAAAAAGAAACATCATTAATATTGATGCCTTTAATGCTAATAAAATTCTACTCAATTGGGAAAAATTATATCACTAAATTTTTAAACTAGGACATTATCTTCTTTATAGTTAAAAATAGAAAGAGAAAAGCTGTGACAGCTCTCCTTTCCTCCTGGTCCCCTAATTTCCAGTAGGAGAGACAAACCTGTGATTTGATATGACTTTGTGGAAAGAACGCTGGAAAGTCAAATCGAGGCGGAGTGCCAGCGCTCCTCTTCCTATCTGACCTTGGGACGTCACAGCGCACCTCTAGGCCAAGGTTGACATACAGCCTTCTCAAGTAGGGAGGTTGAGCCGATCAGTCACTCCCCAAACTAGCTGCCACCACGGCCAACTACAGAAACTCAGAAAAACAAAAAGGGTTCTCCCCCCTACTCCAAGTTACTACAGTAATTCTCTGGTGAGTCGCTGGGCAAGATGGTAGAGGAATCTGACGGTGCTGGGTCTCTCCCGGAGGGGAGGGTGGAAGGACTGTGCGCTCTGGAGGAGCTCGAATCTTTCCCAACGTGGGGCGTTGGTCAGACCCTGGTGTGGGGGTGACGCCGTCCAGCGGCCCAGCCTCTTTCTCTAAGCCGCCCTGGACTTGGGTGCCCGAGCCTCTTTCCGCTTGCCTTCCGGCCTGGCTCTCTCTGCACCCCGGGCGGCGTGCCTGCTTTCCTCCGGGGTGAACTGAGGCCGCCCGCCCACCCTGCCACACGACTGAAAGGACGGCAGGGTGGAACCGACTAACCTCAAACGGAACTCTCCCAATGCTGTTCAGTGCAAATCCGTCAGGGACACTGAACTTTGTTTTGGTCACTAAGGGCATGTTAGCGTTAGTTTTGGTCACTGTACTATTTAAAACTAAAAACAATTCTAAGAGACTTAGTCTTGAATATCAGAATAAAAAGATTAATGCTATTTTATGTTAATATAACACATACATTCACAATATAGAACCCAAACTTCAAAATTTTTAATAGGCTCATGCAACATAACTGAAAAATTTAAAAAAGAATTACACTAAATTCTGAGTATTTACATTAGAAAAAGAGGCTCTAGTTTGAATTCAACCCATAGGGAGTAAGAATCAAGTAAAGATGGGAGGGGGGGTCTGGCCAAATACTTCAGCGGATTAAAGCGCCTGCAAGCAGACTCAGGGGCTGGGGATTCAATCCCCGGGCCTGCAGTGCGTAACTGAGACTAGGCGCCTGTAATCCCAGCTCTTGGGAGGCTGTAAACAGGCGGGTCACTAGGAGTCCAATCTAGTAGTGAGACCCTGTAGACCCTTCCTCCTCTCCACCGCCCCCCCCCAAAAAAGAATCACGTAGGCTAGTAGCTGGTACTCAGTCTCCACCCCCGATACAGGGATTCTGTACCTGCTGCTCACTCTGTCCACAATCACTGAGCCTCGCCACCTGTCCTACTGCGCCCAAACGTGGAAGCACCCAGCTGTCGACACGAGTTTCAAACCACACAAATGTTAATTTAACTTGGGCTTTTGACTTTAGGTGAGACGCTAGAGAACGGACAAGCTCAAACGTAAGATGTCTCGTTTATTAAGCACTTACGGTGCCACGCGAGCACGCCCTTTTTTAGGGCGCTCATAAAATTATAAATCTGCGGGGACACGTTGGCCCGGCTTCTGCGCAGGAGGCCAC